CAAAGGTGGAAGCGGCGGTGGGGCGACTGACTGCGGCAGGGCCTCAAACACACAGGACTGACATGAGAACTACATTAAAATAATTTATTTTAACGCATTTTTTGTCATAACCCGATGGGGAAAAAACTCATTTCCTTTAATGATTCCATCTGGTATACGCACAACGCTCTTAGTGAGCTCGACCAGGACCAGGACCAGGATGCGCAGTCCTGCTGCCACGCACATGGTTATTTCATTAAAATTGCCTTTTGTTGTTTGTGAATGTTGCTTATTATTAACGCCGTGCCGTATCATCCGTATCTGTATCTGTATCTGTATCTGAGATCTGCGAGCGTATCTGTATCCGAATCCCGCAGATCTGTTGGCTGCACTTTTATGGGGCCAGAAGACACGACATTTGCATTACTGGCCAGCAGCGTTGAGTCGCCGACCTGCAGCTTAATAAAGACAAATTGACTTTCTGGCCATAACTGTGCGGTGGCAGCTGCAAAAGGGGGCGTGACCCTGCCAGCTGATTGGCAATTACGAGGGCTTGACAAAACGCGATAAACGAATTAACATTTAAATTAATATAATATATATATGTATATACCCCCGAAAAGCTGACCCTCCTCTTCCTCCTCCTCCTCCTGCGTTTGTCGTGAGCGGCGACAAATTTGAACCCAACATGTCGGACACAGAGTGACGGCCTTCACAAGTTGCATTCCAAATTTATGCAAATGAAGTCTGCAGTAAGCGCGGCTGGGTGGGTGTGTCCTTAGTTGTCGGCGACAGTCGTTGCATCTAATTAGACCAAGTAAATTACAAGACAAAAAGGACCAGGGAGCTGAGAGCTCTGGATAGCAGTGCAGTAAATTGAATAAGCCACTAAAGGGGGTTTGCATTTCGGGGGAGGGATATTGGGATAACCCCTCTCTTGAATGGGTTAAGCCCCAGCAGCAAACTAACTGAAGGATAAGACTGGCTTATCCCCAGGGTTGTGGTGGGAAAACCTCTCAAACTAAGGCAGAACCCTCTCCTAACCTAAGGCAAGCTCAAAAATGCTGTCTTTCTTGCTTAAATCTTTTTACTTTAGCTATAAAAACTCTTTACTTTCCTCAATAAATTAATCATTGCAAGTGTAGATAATAGTTTTAAAAATATTTGTAAACGCCTAAATGTTTATTCGTCAGGTCACCAATTTTCTTTTTGGGATTTCTCAACAAATTAACTGCAAAGAAATTGGGCCTTTGGGCATCTTAATGCCTGTAATGATGATTGCTAGACAAACGTCACACCAGGGCGGAATTAGCTTCCCGCAACGATGATTGGGTCTTGGCCGTATGCACAGCAGCCACATTGCGCATACGCCCCCGTGGCCGGTGGTAGGAGGGCTGGGTTAACGAGGCACCAGAGAATCGGCGGATAGTTTGCCGTAAATTTCCTGGCAAATGCTGTTAGCCGCTTAAAGTCAGCCCGATCCGACTCATCGACGGGCTATTTGGTCCCGTTGTTAATTGGGTTTGCTGCATCGGGCTTAATACGACGGGGCAGCAATTTATTTACGCGCCATTAAAAATGCACATAACAAGCAAATTGCATTTTTGCCATACACTCGGCGGCCGGATCGAGCTCTTAAGCAAATTACAATAAATTTGGCGCAAAACTTGCATATGAAATGTGCAATGTTCGCGTTACAAAAGCCACTCGCTGTCGGCAATAATATAATTAAAAATTAAATGGCAAATTAATTGGTGAAAAATATCAAAAAGACTTTCTACGCAAGCCGGCATTTGTGGCATTTAAAATGCCATTAATATTGCATCAACACCTGCAGTACAAGCGCTTAAATAAACATGCACAAAAAGCCCGCGCACTTTACATTAAAACGGTCTGGCCCCGAAAAAACTATTGATGAATAATGAACGCCCGACCCGGAAACAAAGCCAATGTGACCGCAGATACAGCTGCAGATAGGGCTGCAGTTCCAGAACAAAAATCGCATTCCCGCAGCAACACAGGCCAACAGCTGCTGCTGCTGCTGCTGTTGCTGCTCGACTTGTAAGTGACACGACCCGAGCTCAACTCTGGCCATAAATCAGCGGCCAACAGGATCGCATTGTATTTTTTAATTCTACATAAGCACAAACAAACGGACAACGGTTGTATTTATCGTTTTTGTTGGCCGGGAATGTAAAATAATTCATGAATTTATTCCACAACGATGTGATGAAGCCCATTTAATGCGAAATGTTAAACTATATCCCTTGGAAGTTTGGCTAATCACCAGATAATCGAGCAATACATTTTTTTTTTACCTAACTTATGGTAACAAAAACATATTTATTTAAGTCTCTCACTCCACATGTTCCTTTCTGTTTCTTCCCTGTACAAATATTCTTTTGTTTGTTGAGTTTACCTTTCGGAGATCTCGAACTTAATCGGCTTAAAGCAGTGCGGACTCCATTATGCCAGATGTCCTTCGGTTGACTAAAGTGTGATATTATTGAGGCAGCTGCTGTGCCCTTTGTGGCCTTACAATTAGTCAAGATAATTAGGTGGCAAACGGCATTCAAGGACCGAGTCCGGCATGTGGCGTGGCCCTATTTAAATGCAAAATAATTATATTCACGTGCCATATATGTATGAATGCACGCCCTGCCCCTTGCTGTTGCCACTATCTCTCTGCTCGCCCTGCGGTTTTTTATACTCTCATTTGTTTCATAGTTGCCTCGGCTGCCGTGTGTCTGCGGCAAGCGAAAAGTTTCAGGCATGTTAATAACACTCATAATTAAAAATTAAATGTTATAATTCCGTGTGTGCTGCCGTGCGGCTTATCCGTTTGCCTGAAAATTATTTTCCAGCTATGTGGCAGCAGACAATTACTCACGAAGCGCTGCCAGACTCTGATTTTTCTCTCAATTTCCATCCCTCTTTTTTTATGTTGCAAGTCAACTTTCGATGAGCCAGAGCAATTATGAGATGCAAAAGCCATGTTTGCCAGAAATTCCCAACAAGTCATGTATTTTTGATGTAAAAACAAAAAAAAATAGAATACGAGTGAACCTTCATTTTGCCAAGAGCAAGAGTTCTCCTAAGGACGATGTCGACAAGCACGCTGGCCAGGCAATAAAAGTTGGCAACTACTTTGCAAGTTTTCCCAGATGTTTTACGGTCGGGGAAACCGGTTAGGCAAGCCAGCCACTTAAAAACACAAATATCCAGAGCATTTTCGCCCAGAAGTCAATGCCACAAAAAATATTACAAATGCTGCTTCCGTGCAATCATTTTGCATTGCCAACAATGCGACTTACAGGGCCAAGATGTAATTACTTTTTAAAGTTGAACAGAATTTTTTCTTATTTTACTTGGCTCGGCAAAGATATTTCTTAACGATTTAATATGATTTTGCACAGAGGTACTGAAAAAAAACGTATACTGAAATCATTTTAAATGTCAAATATTTGCCATACTGGCTTAATCCGGCTCGAAGGACAAAAAATTCTAGAACGATCTAAATAAAATGTACTCAGCTATATGTTAAACTATTTTCATAGTGGCCACTATATTTAAAGATATTAAGCAGCGTTTTAAAGTCCTTAAATGTTATGAATATATTTATGATTATCCAAGTTTAAGCAAACATCTTATGCATAAGCAAAAATGAAATTAAAAAATCCTCACTTCCCTGTTTGTTCTTGTGTTTTGTATTTAAATATTAAAATGATAAACGATTTCACAAAATGTCCTATGTCCCGTTTTTTCCAGTAAGCGCGGTGACAAATATAAGTGAGTTCGACTGGTAGCGAGCCTTAAATTGTATTGCACGGCACTCTCAGCAGGAGCCGCGTGCGATGCCAATTTGAATAATTATTGGCGCAGAGACAGAAAGTCAATCAGTGGGAATGCAGCGGGCAATTTAATACAATTGCGGGCCAAGGCGCTTATTCAATTAATTACTTGAAACAGTGCGTCAAAAAGCGGGCAAGTAATTCAGAAAAAGCCGAGTAATTATTTTACACTTTGCTGCCGTTGCTGTCGTGGCTCTCGGGTTTTCCCAGCTGCACTCTTGCCCCGACTGCCTTTTCCGCCACTGCATTTTCCCCGCCTGCATTTTGATGAAGTTTTTCCGCGACAACACGACGCAGTGGCACTTGCAGTTGCATCTGTCGCCGGTGCATAATAAAGTTTGCTTAAAGTTAAGTTTGTTAAATCCTTACCGGGGCCAGTAATGTAACCCAGTTTTCGGGGCCAGCAATTATCGGCATCTGATTGTATGAAATCAATGTCGGGCGAAATCAAAGGCAATATAAATTCGCATAAATTCGTCCCGGGCGCTTTAAATGTCAAGTGGCGCTCGTCCATCGATTTTTATGCCTCGCTGGCTGCTGGGGTCATTTATCAATATGTAGATTTCCCGGGCAGAGTTCAATGGGTCCCACGCATCCCCATACAGACCGACACGGGCCCCTGTATAAATTGCGTAATTTTTTTTACCCTCACACACAATTGGAGATAAATTGACTGATATGCATGTTGTGGGCCGCCGTCGTCTGTCTGCCAGTTTGATGTATGCGTCTGCCCGGCCAAGTGTCCTCCCGTGGTGCGCCCCACTTTCACTTTTCCGCTCTTTGATTTTTTCCTTAAATAAATCGACGCCCCAAGCCACTTCCGGTGACTGCACTAAAATGCCAGACAAGAGCGTAATGGCATCAATTTCCTGCAGTCGAAATTTAAATTCGACGAGATCCAAGGCAACGTCTCCTCCTCCTAGGGGTTCTATTATTAGCAGGAGTTCCACTTAGACTTGGCTTGGCTTGAGGAAAACAAAAAAAAAAACATCAAGGACAAATATTTCTTTAAATTGGCCCTACGTCAATACCAGTTTCAAGGTTTAAAAAGCAATTACGTTTTGGTAATCTAATTTTAAAAATTGTAAGTTGATAAAGTTAGGATCATCATTAAATGTTTATGTAATAAGTAACCTGTTCGATTGCCTTCCCTTTCATTGTTTCTTTTGTTTTGTTAAAGTTATGTTATTGTTATAATCCTAGTGGTTAATTGTTGCGTTTATTTTTATTTCTTTGACACACATTAATATCCTTTGTCTGTGAATTTGCCACTTTAACAGCCACCAAAATGAAGTTGGACTTTACAATGAACGATCGCCACAACCTGCGATTCCAAGCGCTGTACGGCGCATTGGTTCCACAGATCGCGCGTCAGGTGCCCTTTACCGAGCCAGAGGTGTCCTGCCTCCTGCTGATCTACTACAAGTACAGCCTGCAGAATGGCCCCACCTCGCGACAGATAACCAACACTCAGTTTGGAAAGATTGTTATTGGGTTCCAGCAGCTGTATGACATGGATGCGGTGGACCGCATCGTGACCTTGATCACGGGCGACAGGAAGTATGTGAAGCCCATGGAGTTTATCCAGTTCATGACCATCATAATGACCCGCGACATAGAGCGCAAGATGGAGTTTGCATACATGGTAATGGATTGGTGATTTGTTTTCTTTAAACCAAATTTACTATCCGTTTATTTTGTAATTTATTTTTCGTTGTCACAGGTCTATGACAAATTTGACTTGGGTATTAATCGCGAGATTATTTCCAATGCCGTGGAGAAATTCTTTCCCGGGGACGATGACGAGGTACTCGAGATGCGACTGGTAAGCTACCCTGAAGCCTCTGACCTAAGTTCTTTTTCTTATCCTGCCCTATTCAGGACATGGTCGAGTTTTTAATTCTCAAATTTGATGAAGACCAAGACGGTGTCATCACATTTGAGGAGTACAAAAGCGTCGTGATGCATCAGCCGCACTTGCTCGAGTTCCTGGGCCCCATTTTTCCCTCGGACGACATTCGCCAAGTGATTGCCTACTGCACGGCCATATACTCTCACATTCCAGAGCTGAGCTCGATGTAGTAGCAATGGCATGTAGGGTGTATGGCGGTCTGCCAGGATGACTCCCTCGCCGCATAAATCTTTCAGGCACAAATAAATCGAAAGCAATGCAAATCAGTGCGCCCCGTCGCCGCGTTTCCCTATGTTCAGCCATTGTAGCCACTCGAAAATGTCAATGACAATGATGATGAACTGCAAAATAGAGCGCTGACAGCTGCAACGAGACGCTGGATGGATGGATAGATGGATGGCTGAATGGAGAAATATATAGAGGACCACAGCTGCCTCAGAGCCACACCAGGAAAAAAATCAAACTTCAGACTTCCCCCTCACTAACATCAGTAATAATTAAGTGACAAAACGACATGTAAAATGTATTAAAATAAATTAAATCAATGTAACATTTTGTGAATAAATATATATATTTAATTTAAAAAACTTTTGTAACTAATTAACTATTTTTTCTATTATTAAAACAACCGCAACTCTGCTCATTTTTTCCCGTGTGTCGAAGTGACTACTTCACGGGCATAATTTTAAATATGGAGCGCAGCAGCTCCAGAAATACTTTGCTTTGGTTGAACGCTCCACTGGCTCGTCGACTGCCTTTTGCCATTGCCCCCATGACAGCTTGATTTGTTGGCAGTTGGCATACAATTGACATTTGATGGATGGTGTTCTACATTGTCGGGACATTCTGCATTCTAGGATTCCGCATTCTGGCTGCAGTCGGCCCTTGAAGTCGTCCCATCAAACTGCAGCGAGACAAAGACCCCATTTCAAGCTTTTTTTTTTTTTTGTTTAAATAGAAACGTTAAGGGGTTCATTTAAAACACAACCTTATACATTTATAAACAGTTTATTTGTTAGTTTTTAATATTATGTTACGAATCAGTTTGGGTTCTCTAGTACACTTGTACTATCATTGAGCTGTATTTATATTTGATCAATATATTTCATTCTCAAAACATCTAGGTTTCTGCACATCTAGACGCCTCGAGAATAACTTCAAAGCAATCTCCATCCGTAGTAAGCCATTGTAGAGCTTCCCCTCCAGTAAACTAGTAGAAACAGTATTCGTTATAAGTGAATATTTTTCTAGAAAGTGAACAAATCCCAGAAATGTATGACGAAGAAGCTACCGCCCTGGTCGTGGATAATGGATCCGGAATGTGCAAGGCCGGCTTTGCCGGCGATGATGCGCCCCGTGCCGTTTACCCGTCGATTGTGGGTCGTCCCCGTCACCAGGGCGTGATGGTGGGCATGGGGCAAAAGGACTCGTATGTGGGCGACGAGGCCCAGAGCAAGCGTGGCATCCTCACACTAAAGTATCCCATCGAGCACGGCATCATCACCAACTGGGACGACATGGAGAAGATCTGGCACCACACATTCTACAATGAGCTGCGCATCTCGCCCGAGGAGCACCCTATTCTGCTCACTGAGGCTCCGATCAACCCCAAGGCCAATCGCGAGAAGATGACCCAGATAATGTTCGAGACCTTCAATGCCCCGGCCATGTACGTGTCCATTCAGGCGGTTCTCTCGCTGTACGCCTCGGGTCGTACCACCGGCATCGTTCTGGACTCTGGCGACGGTGTCACACACACCGTACCCATCTATGAGGGCTACGCCCTGCCGCATGCCATCCTGCGTATGGATCTGGCTGGCCGGGATCTGACCGACTATCTGATGAAGATCTTGACCGAGCGCGGCTATGCCTTCACCACCACCGCCGAACGTGAAATTGTGCGCGATATGAAAGAGAAACTATGCTATGTGGCCTTGGACTTTGAGCAGGAGATGGCCACCGCAGCTTCCAGCTCTTCTCTGGATAGCTCTTTCGAGCTGCCCGATGGACAAGTAATAACCATTGCAAATGAGAGATTCCGCTGTCCCGAGACCCTCTTCCAGCCTTCGTTCTTGGGCATGGAGGCCCAAGGCATACACGAAACGACATATAACTCGATAATGAAGTGCGATGTGGACATACGCAAGGATCTGTATGCCAACGTAGTGCTCTCTGGCGGCAGCACGATGTACCCGGGCATTGCGGATCGCATGCAGAAGGAGATCACCGCCCTGGCCCCGTCTACCATGAAGATCAAGATTGCTGCACCGCCGGAACGCAAGTACTCTGTGTGGATTGGTGGCTCTATTCTGGCCTCGCTGGCCACCTTCCAGCAAATGTGGATTTCGAAGCAGGAGTATGACGAGTCTGGCCCTGCCATCGTCCACCGCAAGTGCTTCTAGGTGAAAAGCATACCTCGCGCTCCTGTCGAGACCATTTTAACTTTTTATTACTACTATATGCTAAATTCTACTCCAAAAATCCGTTGCTACGCAGGCATTAAAATTATTCATATGTTTCGATTAGAAGATACCCTATTTACCCGGTTGCTATATATGTCCGATTTCTTACGTCAAACGGGAGAAGAAGAAAGAAACTTTTGTGTACAGCAAAGTTCCTCCCAGCTTAAATAAAAAATGAGACAAAGTCTGCACAGCTGACGAGTGCCAAAGGACATGGCAGGGATTCGACTTTATAGTCGACGACTGGGAAGCCAAGTGTATGGGTATAAATAAAACAGGCCGCAGTTTTTCCACTATTTCCACGTTCATCTCGGCCATATTTTACGTGAGTTGCGGTCGAGGCTGAGGAGGGGGCAAAAAACTTTTCAGCGTTATGAAAACTCTTGAAGATTTCGGAGCAAACGAAACTTTTGTATTCTCGCATATATTATTTGAACAACACACAGAGATATACTGAAACGTTGCCGGCGTTGTCGTCTCTGCCCGTATTTGCTGAGATTAATTAACAAATCTGGAGATGGCATGCCAGTTCGACTCCTTAAAAACACAAGGCTAATGGCTAGAAAAGTGGGCGCATTTGCATAGCAGCAGTCGGCAGGAAAGTCAGGACAAGTAAGAGCCAGTGAAACATGAAACAAAAAGTAAACAAACAAAGGATCCCGAAACACAGGAGTGTCGGAGAAACTCTAGAGAAACAAGACCATGTTGAATGTTGAGAATATTCCGGCTTCCGGATTTTTTTATACCCTCGTCTGTCGAATCTGGTTTTGAAGTATAATTTTTTATATTCCTGGATGAATACAAGAATAATCAAAATACTTGTGGGAATATGTAGGTGACAAATATTAAACATATTTTTAAAAATATTCACAATTTAAAGAAGCTGAATTGCCTTTCAAATTCCAAAAAGAAGTGTTTGGCTTCTTGGCCGGCTAAGCCTCTTGCATTTGTAATTATTTATGCAAAAATTGTTGCCCAACAAACTAAATTTAGTTAAATGTTTGACTTTAGGCAGGCGCTCGTTGATTAACCGACTGGAACGGGTGCCCCGCCACGTCCCCGGGTATGCAAATAACAATAAGGCGGGAGGCGGGGCATACCTTTAGCCTCCCCCACTTTTCACCCTTCAGTCCGTGCAATTCCTTTACTTGACTGTTGTTCTTGGGTGTTTGAGTTTGGCACTCGTACTTGCGTGTAAACACGCATGATTAAGCTACAGGCACAAATTAGCATAAGGCAGGCACCAACGCCAAGGAATGTGACTTTGAAGGACCCTCGAGTTGGCTTTTATTGCTTAAAATTTTATAATTTCTGTGAGGGTGAAGGAACCACTTTATTAAGCCTTCAAAGGTATCAGGAATTTAGAACATTAGTTTGTAAATTTTGTAAAATTTTCTGTGAATATAAAGACATGTAGTAAAACTGCTGTAGCTCTGAATAAATAAATAAAACAAAAGCAATTCCAGTTCAGTGCGGCATGATGGCTTATTGAATTTAACTAGAATTCCGTGGCTAAACAAATTCCAGCACAATCTCGCGACAGTCAGGTGCAACGATATATATCGATCCGGATCCGGATCTAGGTCCAGGTCCGGAGGAACACCAACGAAGCGAAGCGGAGAATGCATCATGATGAAGACGATGATGATGCCAAAATACATCGCAGAAAGAGTCGGAACCGGCAGCAACGGCGACAGCGAGAAGCCTGCACTCAGCGCATTGCATTGCAAAGTGAACTCCACTTACATGGAGTAAATAAATAAAAAGGATGCCCGAACAGAGCTCACAATTTATGGATGCACTTGCCAGTGCAAAGGACAATGGCGGCAATGGAGGAAAAGCGGAAAAGCGAAATGAATGGGGGAACAGCAAGAGCTTGAAGCATGCCAAACGTGGCCAAATGTAAAGTAATACGTGACAATAATGCTGCCAATGGCCGTGTTGATTAGGCTGCCTTATTTATGGTCCTCTCCCGCCTTCCGACAGCTGATCCTGATCCGTATCGCCTTCGAGAATTCAGAATTCCAGAAACAAATGCGGCTGGGTCTGTCTTCCAGAAATGACCAATCGCTGGTAAATTCACTGAGCTGCCGCAATCCGGGGTTGATCTGCTGCTTTTGTGGCCCAACTTGCTCTTTGGGCCTAATGAACCGAACGAGCAGTTTGTGTGTGTGTGTGTGTGTGTGTGTTTGTCTGTGTTTTGGCCAGGTAAATATTATTTGATGCTGTGTCGAAAGCCATTTCCAGGTGGTATGTGTTTATGCATAAAATATTTACAAAGTTTCGTGTCTCCGTGTGGCTTTCGCCGAGTCCAATTTGCCCAAATGCAGAAGTAACATTTGAGGCCGGCTTGTGTGTGGCAATTCTTTTTGCCCCTCTTATTATTCCAAGTTTATTTAGGAGCCGGCTGCGGCGCACTGGAGGAGTGGAGTGGAATGGAAACCCACATCAAAGCATAGCACGTGGCACGCATGAGTGGCAATGGCAAAAAGCACACCACCAGCACCAGAGGCACGAGCAGGAGATGGAGCAGGAGCAGAAGCAACAGAAGCCAAGGCAGCCCCAATTGCATTGCCATTGCCCCGAGTTGACCACAAAACATGCGCCCGGCTACGAAAACCAAGCCAAGCCAACACGAGCCTGGCCAAAAAAGAAAACACGGCAAACGAATCAGGGAAAAGGCAAAGCAAAACCCAGAGCCAACATTTACACAGCAAATAAATTCACATAAGGAGATGATTTTAAAATTGTACAAAAATTGTAAGCAGGAAAAGAGCTATTTAACTAAAAGTTTCCATTTCAAGAAGATTTTTTCTGTAACAAAAAATGTAATTTATAAAAAAGTTCTCTTTTTTTAGGACACATCTTAAAGATCATTAAAATTGGGTAAATATATTGATTTCTAACAAGTTTGAAAAATAAAATTCCAGGCAAGAACGAGTTCTAGTAAAATGTTTTTCAAAAATTTAGCTTATTTTTTTCAAAAATGCTAAATTCCACAAGAAGGCCTTGTGAAATTTGCCCCTAAAGCATTTTGATTTTATTTTTGTGTGGCTCTGGTCTGATTATTTCTTTTATCTACGAATTTTCTACGAAGGACTTTACGTGTTGACTTCTTCTAAAACTTTTCTTGAAAAACAGCCTCTATTATGGTGCTCATGAACGTGTTGGCCGACGCCCTGAAGTGCATCTCCAATGCCGAGAAACGCGGCAAACGCCAGGTCCTGCTGCGTCCCTGCTCCAAGGTGATTATCCGTTTTCTGGTCGTGATGATGCGACATGGCTACATTGGCGAGTTCGAGATCGTGGATGACCACCGCCCAGGAAAGATCGTGGTCAACCTTACCGGACGTCTCAACAAGTGCGGCGTGATCTCGCCGAGATTTGATGTGCCCATCAACGACATCGAGAAGTGGACCAACGCATTGCTGCCGTCGCGTCAATTTGGCTACATTGTGCTCACCACCTCGGGTGGCATTATGGATCACGAGGAGGCCAGAAGGAAGCACCTGGGCGGCAAGATGCTTGGGTTCTTCTTCTAATTAATTCGATTTATGCCACAAATGTAAAAGAAACAAATAAATCGTATTATAACCTCAAAATAAAGTCTGCATTTTGAGTCTATTTTCCATTTCCCCTTTTTTCTCTCAGTGCTGGGACAACAACAGTAACAGAGCGGTAAATCAACTGCTGACCAGTGTACGGCTGCAGTTACGTATGTGAATTTGTAATCTAAACTTTTATACTCGTTGACTCGTTGGCTCGTTTTTCCATCAGCGGCGAACAGGAAACGGAAATTGCTGCTGTTGGCCCGTTGACAAAAACACGACACTTGCACCTCAAGTTGCCAGGAACTTTCAACTTGATTTTCACAACAACAACAGCAACGGCGGCCAGGAGGAGGACATTATGCGACTGGCAATTGCTTACGGTTTTGTTGCTTTGTCGTCCTGTTGTCGGGCAACTGAATGTGTCCATGATTGCGATTGCAGGCGGGCGATCGTGTTGTTCCTGTTCCTGTTTTTGTGGCCGTGTGTCTATCGGTCCATTGATTAAGCGTGGCCAGGTGGTCGGGTGGCCTGGATATGGCCCTTCGCCACTCCTCTTTGGCCACGCTCACTCAATCAAAGCAAACTAAAAGTTTGCGCTACGGGTTTAACCTCAGTTTGCATTCTTTATGAGTGTTTCTGCTCCTGCTTTTTGCGGAATGCACTTGAAAAATACTAGAGTTATATTTATTAACCCATAAAGCATAATCTAAGTTAGTTAAAAAATAATCCATATCTGGTCATTGTTTACTTTTCCCTGGCTGTTTATTCAGCAGTTAAAATACTATTTTAAATATTTGCAGCGTTTACCTTTTTGCTGTCTGAAATTTCTTTACCTGCCTCGCTCTGCATTTTTGTGCTGCCTTTGAATGCTTAATGCAAATTGATTTACCCGCTCCTGTTTCACTTTTTTCACCAATACAACTTTTACTTAAACGAATTTGCAACGGCTTTAAGTTGCAATTAAGCCCGCTGAGCGGAGCGCGGAACTTGTTAACTGATTTTACCTCGTTGCCAGTTGGCTGCACATTTGCGAACGGCACACGAAAATTTTTAACTTAAATTACTTTTCGTAATAACTTTATTTTGTAATTTACGTAAGTAGAAGTAACATTTATGCAGCTGCATAAACCGCCAACGAAAGTAGCTGACAAACTATGACGGTGCACGTAAAAAACTTCGTGCCGGAGTCTTTGCGAATTTGCGCAAAAATTTGCCAGGGGAAAAGAAGCGGGAATAGGCGATGGAGGAGCTGCAAAAGGAGAACGGAGGAAATGGGCGGCCTTTTGGGGGGTTGCCTTTCGTTCGGCCTTGGTCCCCCCGTAGTGGATGTCACTCAGCTAGATAATTTGCATACGGAAATGGAGACCGGCTCTTTGATGGTTTCCTACGATCTTTGGGAATCTATAGGCGAGTCCACCTGTTCCGGGAATGAGTGGTAATCCCTCCTGCTCGTACCGCCATTCGGAATTCCGGTGGCATTTTAAATTTTTAATACGGCACTTGGCCGAAGGGAAAATGAGGAAACTCGGGCACGTTGTTTTTCTTTCGCTTGCGTAATGAGGAAAAGTTTCCTTGCTACATGCAATTTGGTCTTGTTCCCAGGTCTCAGCTCTCAGTTCTCTGATGTCTTTGCCACTCGGTCGGTCTACTTGTCCTTGCAAAATGCCATTTGCATTTGCCAAAAGCACAGCCATAACGGCGAGAAGAAAGCAACACACTTACCTCAATAGTCAAACAAAGCGGCGCAAAAGTGCGGCATACTTTGTGGCGCTTGGCATGCCGAGCATGTGCCCTCCATTCGGTCCACAGTCTGACATACAAATCATTTAGCCGAGTGCCGAATGTCGAGTGGGGAGCAGTAATGTAACCGCCACGAGCACGGCAAAAAAAGTCCCTTTTAAATTCAGAGATTCATACTTGATAAAAAATATGATCGATCCTCAAAGGCTCAAATTCAACTCGTCTTTTCTCTTCGACTAAATCTTCCTTTTCGACCCTCTTACTCGTTGGTTTACTCGTTCTTTTTCTTTGTCTCTGTAACTTTTTTGGTATGCTTGCACTTTGCGGAAAATTATGAAATTTTGGAAAATGAAATCAAATATATCAGTTTTCCCCTCTCTGCAATTACACAAATCGCATGTGAGCCTGCTTTTGTATGCAGGTAAACGGTCGCTTTCCTGCAGCTTGACAAGATTCTTGTCACATTTACATTTTAATTACTCTGACCAGCGGCATTGGAATCGGATCCTTTTGCCTGGCAATAGCTTTGACAACCAATCAATAAATCAGAGACACTGGCCCGGGTCTTATCAATCAAAAGCGTGCCCGTATAGAGGATTCTAAGGTCCCAAGTGTGGGCAACAATTTTGCGGACCGGCGGAGAGCAGCTCAAGAGGCACTCAGGCTGGCTGAAGGACTCAAACGAGCAGGAGCACGAGCAGGAACAGAATCCAGAGATGCAGAGGCAGAACTCCAGCTGGCAAAACCAAACAAAGGGCTGCAACAAATGGCAAAGGGAATCAGCGGCAAAAGCGTAACCAGAGTGAAAAGTGTAAAATGCAAAATCTCATTGATGATTGAATGCAGCAGGATGAAGCAGGATCCCCGGCACTTTTTCTTTTCTTTGCGCCGCTTTGTCTCAGTCTCAATAACGAAATGCAAATACGGCAAAAAGCGAAAGCAAACACACAAATACGCATGAGGACAAATGCCAGGAGGTTCGGAGTATGGTAGATGGAGGAGCATGGCTGGAGGAGGGTGAAAAAGTGGCAGGCAGAGCCCAGGACCAAAGGCAAATCGAATGGCACAGAGGCGAGGCAGAAAGCTGCCAAGTGCCCGGCAAGAGAAACTGGCAAAAAAGCGGGCTACAAATTGTGACAATAAACCCGGAATCTATAGATGCCCTAACCAAGTCGGATTTAAGATTGATATGAAGCCGAACCTGGCCTCAAAACAGGTTGTTATCCTTTGAGTTTTGACTGGAAAAGTTTGAGGTTTGTCTTGGAATGAAATATCTGAAAATATTAGTTTGTACGAGAGGTGTTCCCCATGTTCTAATATTATTTTTAAATAATATAAAATGGTTTTCGAATGTTCTTGAAGTTACCTTGTGACTTAATTATTTGATAAATATTTATATAATAAAAACAGTATTCAGTCACACAAGGTATTCAACAACAAAGCTGAATCTCAGTTAATTAAAATTTTAAAACGTCGTTCTGAACACCTTTTTTCATAGTCTTGCATTTACCTTTTGCTGCAACTGGAAGAGATAAATAAAAGGAGAACATAACTTTCTATCAGACCAAGACCAAGTTCATAACCATGCCAAGGGACCTTGATCCCTAGGGTAAATAAAATAAAACACTACAAAAAAAAAAAGAAGAGAGAGTGCCAAGGATGTAGGGTGAGGGAAAGAGGGGGCAACTGTGCTGGGGCTTCCCGCACGGCAAAGAAAATGGCGTTAGCTGCAGCGCATAGAATTGCAAATTCAATTTCAATTCAATTGAGCATGTGTTCGCAACGGCACATCCATATGCTCCTCAGTTTCCATCTCCATCTGCATCTGTGTGTGTGGGGGGGACTATGGGGCGTATGCGTGATGTATCTGATGTGTGTGTGTGTATAGTCGAGGGCATTGTTGCGCTCTCGCTGCTTCGCTTGTTGCATTGTTGCATTGTCACTTAGGGGCCGAAAGCGATACGGCAGCTACATCGGCTTTGTCAATAATCAAACTCGATTTAAATCGAACTTCTCGCATTGCCACGCACGAAATGCACAAAATAATTGCCACGATCCAGGGACGATGATTTTTATTAAATTACACGCTGTGTAAATAATCCGCATGGCTTTCGCGGCGGCTTCTGTCATTAGGCCGCCGACAATTAATGCCAATCGAAGCTCATTAAAATTCAAATCCCCTCCCGGTCCCGATGCCATTATAAACATTTTTGCGCCAAATGTTAATTAGATTTGAATTTCGAATATTTTGCCAGCTTCCACCGAAAGCAAATAGCACACGACAACGAAAACAATGGCCGGACGACGGCCGCTTGCATAAAATGCAAACACAAATCGGCAAATATTATTTTTATGTGCTCCTAATGATAATGATTTTTCGCCAAGCCATCAAAACTGACAGCCCCGAAATCGGAATGGGAATGCAAATGGTGGGCTTAGCTGGCGGATGCGTAATATGGCATAATCAAATTAAAATTAACAAAAACTCTCATGATTGCAAATTAAATGTGGAGAATGGGCTTCGAATTGAAATTGCCAACGATTCGTAGATTATACATATTGATCTGAGGGTCGGGAAATTTATTAGCTGTTTAGCGGGAAACTGGCAGAATGGAAAACAGAGAAATGGGAGGGCTTTGCTGCCGCCTAGGATTTTCTCGGCGCACTGCTGATTGCCAGCCGAGCCAAAAACGGATCAAAAGTTAAATTCCTGTTTGACTTTTCATTCGAAAAATTGGATTTTGCATTTAGCAAAAAACTTTCTGTGCAGCCATCAGCCAGCAGACGGGGATAAGCCGCTCACAGAATGCAAGCCAATGCAATGCTCGACGAAATGGGGGAAAACTTTTTTAGTTCTACAACTAATTTATCAAATTCCAGAGATTTGTTTCGGACTCTCTGTTTGAGTTGGGCTTCGACTTGGCTTACTGATTCCGGGCCGCAACAGAGGCCTCAACAATGGCCATAATAATTTCAATTATTTAAGTGGCAGCAACGGGCATAAGCCCGCTAAATGCATAAACAAATCCGGTTGTCAATTTGCTAATTGCTGTGGTCTTGCCTTTTAATTGCCGCCACAATTCCAAAAAAAATAAAAATCCCTACGAAAAATAAGGGAAATGCCCAATATAAAGGGGCCAAGGACTGTGGGGATTGCGGATTGTGGGTGTGGCTGCTGGTGCTTCTGCTGCCCTAGGGCGTTCCTGGCACAATTGAAGCGTGTTATTAGCTCTAATTGTTATAAAGCCCTTTTAATTGGGTGTCTGATAAAGTTGTGCTGAAAAGAAGGCTGCGGAG